GAGGTAAATTTTTGCGGCCGGAGCTGGTCGTAACCCGAAAAGTTCATTAACAGAGGCGTTCGTAACCCGAGGTTCCACTGTACATACAAAGTGATTCATATAGTCAAATAAATTCAAGTGTCTTGGAATGTTTGACTTTTGTGAGTATGATTTTATTGTTAAACACTTATTCTTGACCTCAAACACTAGAGAGCAGCCCCCTGAACTTCATTTTAGCTTCCTTAAATATAAAATTTAAACAAAACACAGACACATACATCACCTAGCCTGGTACAATATATGTGGCACACAACATATAGGGAAATAACTAGGAATCTCTTCAGACATGCAGCTCAACTAGCAATGAAATGGATGTAATTAAAGGCCAAATCTTGATGTTTCTTAGCCCTAGTATGGGCATATTTTTGATCTGCAGGAACTGCTATAAAGGCAAAGTTCAGAACAGAGGCAAAAATGATTGGGAGTTAAGGGGCAATGAAGTTAGACAGACAATAGGGGTAGAGACAATGGTCATGAGTTGGATATATGCATGATTGGAAAGGGCAAGTTTTATTTTTATTTATTTATTTATTTATCGAATTTGCCACTGCCCATCTCATTAAACAACTCTGGGCAGTTTACAAAAAGTTGAAAGGCACATTTGAATTATTACCAAGTAGAGGTTCTAAGAGCCTATTCTTTGGCACTTTCTTTGAGCCCTGCAAAAATCTGGTGGTTTAACCAGGCAAAGAAATGCAGTGCAAGAGCTAGAAACAGAGAACTAAATGAATGGATTTCTTGTGTGTTATCACTCTGAACACACAGCATGCCTCCTCCTTGGCTGGTGTTATTCTCTTTGTTTTTAGGGCACTTCTATTTCTCTCAGACGGGTGATTTTTAGTGTTGTCCAGCATGATTGAGATGATATAAATCCTATCTTCTTTGCTATCATATCACTAGAAATTATGATAATTTGCTAATTTATTTATTTATTTATCGTATTTATATAGCCGTCCATCTCCCATAAAGTAACTCTGGGTGGCTAATGGGCACTTAGTCTCAGTCTCATCATCCTTTACTATGTTTCTTGTATGGACCACATAAAATCTAGCTGGAACCATCATATCCATAGTTCTATTCAATTGTACAAATTTCTTCAAGTCTATTCTTGGTTGTCACTGAGCTGCTAGCATTGGAGCTTTCCAGTGCTAGCAGGTTGAGTACCTGATCTCATCCGATCTCAACGCTCTGGTAGGAACAGGAATGGTTTGTGATCCCCACATACAATCATGTTTCCTATAGAAAAGCAACTGATGAGCCATGACTAGACAATCCTTCACTGTGGAGAGTTCCTAAAAACCAGCCTTCTGCTGGCAGGCAGAGTGGACGTGAAGTGCCTGCTCTTGCTTACAGCCATTTAAGGAGCTCTCGTAGCCAGCTGTATGAAGAGCTTCTCTGCTGCTCGCTGAGCTGCGGGGAGGTGTCCAAGGGTCCATATATGAATTAGCACGAGCCTTCATTTCTTCCTTCAGGATCAGTCGGCCAATTCCTGTCTGGATCTACACATTTTAAAAAGTTAATGAATAGGATACATAGATGCAAACTTTCTCTTTCCCCCAAACTCAGCTTTTGGTGCAGAATTTTAGGCATACCAAAACATATGTACATACATACATACACATTTAAATAATTAGCATCCTGTCTTTCTAGAAAGGTATGTTTAAGACTAATATTTTATTAATATTAATAAAATGTCCTAAAGCAGCAAACAATTACAATACAATATAATAATGAGCAGAAGCAGCATCTTGTTTGAGATAGTAACTAAAAAACAATAACCTCACCAAGCCTCTCTATCAGTGACAGAAGGGCCAGACTTCAATTTCCATAATTTCCAGCCAACCATGTGAATTTTGGAAGACCAGCGCATTTGGTGGTCACCAGATTGGGGTAGGTGGACTATCCCATCATGGAGGAAGGATGCTTTATCTGAGGCTATACAGAAAATATATAAAATATAACAGCTGAAGTCCTTGTCAAGCTGTTAGTCCTCCTTTTGAATGCACTAGAGGTCTGCATAGAAAAGACACTGAAGGTTTGCTACCCCCAAGAGAAAAGTACCTTGGAAAGCTAGTCTGGAAAGAGCATTGTCTACATAAGCATGACAGCAGGGGCAAAAATTAATCAAAGTTGAATACTCACTCTGTGCATCCCTCGATCAAAACTATCATCTTCTCCTCCTGATGAGAATCTTCGAACTCGGGGAGCTACAAGCAAATATAGGCAAAGTATTCAATTCAAACAAAGAGCTTGCATAATGTCTGAGTAAGGCAAGAGTTTATTAGGGATGGGGCTAAGACTGATTTTTGTTGCCCTGTGCAGTCTGTTCTTTTCAGGCCCTTAAGCATGGCCATCAAAGTCTGAAGTGCCCAGGAGTGAGGGTGGGAAGCCTGTGTGCTGCTGGAGTTCAATTTCTATCATGCCTTACCATTGGCCAGGCTGTCTGGAGATGGTCCAATAAGATCTGGAGGACCACAAGGCATATAAAGACTGTGTAGGGGAGGGAACAGAAAATTCAGCTGGTGTAGTTTTTGGTCTTTAGGTGAAATTCTAGGCCAACCTACCTCAATCTGGCATCTTCAAGAGATGTTGGGCTATAGTTCCCATCAGTCACTGCCACTGTAATAAGATCAACAGTGATGGGAGTTGCCCAAGACACGTGGTGGGTGCTAGGTTGGGAAAGTGCAAGACTTTCCCCTGGACCCAGGCTTTGCTTGGCCTAACCCTAACCCCAAAATTAAGTGGGTAGGGCCAGGATAAAAGCTACATTTGGTGTAACTTCATTTATGTTCATATTTCAAGAAATTGAATATACAGTCTCCAGCCATACATGTAATAATTCCCTCCTTATATCATATAATGTATTACAGCTTGGTAATAACCTTGGAGGTTTCCAAGGACTGCATCCAAGGCTTTCAGAGAACCAAAGTTATCTGTTATAAAATGCAAAACAGCTCTGTCCTCCTTTGGAGATCTCAGGTATAATCTCCCCCATGATGTCCTCGACATATGTGGTAGAGTTGGGCTATAGAGATTTTAGTGTCATAGATGGAGAATGTTACCTTTGGGTGAACCTTGAAAAGTCCAGTACTCTGTTTCTGAGTGATAATATGGGTCTGGAGAATAAGCTGGACTATATTTGGAGGTCTGGGCGATGTCCTCACTAGTTTTGCTTTTTGTAGCTGCAGAGTGGGAATCTGCAAAAGCAACCAAAGAAAGAATGAGCAGAAGGGAAAACCAAATTCTTTAGATGCTCTGGCTCAAATGATACAGTATAGGACAGCTGATGACCAGCCCTTTGTACATCCATCCTGGAAACCCCCAATATATCATATAAAATGGAGGGTCAGATGGCAAATTGTTTTATGCAAAGTCATATAAGCAAATCCACTTCCTATCCACTGCTTATTTCACCATAAGCGTTCTATGGTGTTGGAGGTCAGATATGGAAGGAGTGACTGGAAAACCTAGGGGGAAAAGCTGAGCTGGATTCAGATTTGGCATCTCTTTCCTGCCCAAACCCTTACCATTAAAAATTGTTCCTTTGCTTTATGTGCAATTACAATAGATCCAACTGGTTCTGCTGCTGTCATGACTTCATAAACTAATAGAGAGCAATTCTGTACTGTAACATAAGATGTTGGTCTCCCTTGCTGTTTCTGGCTGCTTAAGCCAACTTCAGAAATTCCAGTCTAGACTGCAATGGGCTGCAATGGGACCAGCCTGGTGCTCAGTCTGGACTATGGCCATTGTGGGCCCTGACTGGTCATCCCCCTGCTTCTTGCCCTTCCCAATCTATGCAGGGGAGGCAAGCCTCACTGGCTGGCTCCTGTGTGGATCGGTCTACAAGTGCCCGCTTGTTTCAAAGATTATTCCCTCCTCGCTAGTCTCAGTGCCTTTCCTTCCAGGAAACTTTGTAGGAAGGGAGAACTGATAGCTTAGCTTCATAGAACCAAAGTAGCAATGTTCCTGTGTTGCAACTTAAAGATGTTTAAAAAACAAAGGGAAGCATTGCAGTCCTGTGGGCAGACAGTGGGAAAGCAGGGGGAGCATGCTTCACCCAGTTGGACAGAAAAAGGCTGCCTACTAGTAAGTGGTTGAATGGGGCATGAACCTCCAAGGTTGAGGGTAGTTAATTGAGTTCATGGGCTACCATTTGCTAAACATCAGATTAAAAAAAAGCAAACAGCAACTGTTGTCAAGCAGAAAACATAACTGCCTGTCAGCCCAGAATGAAACAGCTGCCCTAGGCAGTGACCAGCCATGGGAGGGGAGGGAGCATGACAGGCACTACAGCCAGTCAGAACTGGAGCTGCTAGCAGAATGGAACAATGCACTGAAAACAGCAGTTTTGAATGGAAGCTGGAGAATTCCAGGCATGGGTGCATTTGTAAAGGGCTGGGAGTGGGACAAGGATGACGTCATCTGTTCCTTCAGTCTGAAAGCAGTGAGTGTCCAATACAGGAAATGGGCCAAGCAGAAAATGCAGACGTGCCCATAGAGTAATGAGATTATGCCTTTTGCCACTTGTCAGTAACCCTTGCCCAGTCAAATCTACACTTGCCAAACTGTAGCTGTAACCAGGGAATGGCTTCAGCTCTGGAACTTCAGAGAATCCTAAAATAGAACATGCTGTATCTCCATGTCAGCTGCTGCCATTTTTAATTCATTGCATTCAGGAGGGTTATAGTTTTTCTTGCAGACAATTCCATTTATCAACAGGGAAGACCAGGCAAGGTTCCTGACTGAAACTCTGGAAAGCTGCTGCCAGGTGTTCTTTGTAGACAACCCTGGACTAGGTAGACCAGTTGATTAACTCGGTATGTGGCAATATGCCAAGTGACCATGCTTTATGTCAAAAGAAAAGTAGGGATTAGATCTGGTAGGTAGCAGGAAGGGAGGAGGAGGAGGAGGAGGAGGAAGAAGAACAGTAAAATGGAGAAAGGGACTAGGCAAGTGGGGCACTCTTAATGTTCTTTGTAGACAACCCTGGACTAGGTAGACCAGTTGATTAACTCGGTATGTGGCAATATGCCAAGTGACCATGCTTTATGTCAAAAGAAAAGTAGGGATTAGATCTGGTAGGTAGCAGGAAGGGAGGAGGAGGAGGAGGAGGAGGAGGAGGAGGAGGAGGAGGAGGAGGAGGAAGAAGAACAGTAAAATGGAGAAAGGGACTAGGCAAGTGGGGCACTCTTAAATTGCTGTGGTAGCAAGCAGCATTATTTGGCAGAGCTAGCATACCATTTATCAATCTATATCCCACTCCAGGACTTACAGAGAAGAGTCCCACTTGGGCATTTGCAATCCAAAGCACACAACCTAGATGAGTTCCCACCTCCTTGCTGATATCACTCAAATGATGTCAGCTACTGCAGACATTTTTGCATTCAGTGCAAATGTCTGAAGCAGGAAAGGTATATTGGTTCACATGAAAGCCAATAGGCATATAACCATACCCATGAAGGTGTTACGGTCCCAGACATTTGCACTCAGTGCTCACTGCCTGCAGCAGCAGATCATGTCTTTAAAGCCAGATTGATGGGGAACCAGTTGGGGGGTGGGAAGGAAACATTAATCTTAGGGTCAAAGTGATATTATTCATACAGCCATCAGTTGTATTATTTTTAAAAACTAAATAGCATACACAAGGAGTTTATCTAAGTTGGGACTCAGATGGTGGCTGTGATGATAGAATTGGAGGCTACAGCTGTGTCTCTGCTCCAGATCTGATCAGGGCTGGGTTCCTTATGTCTGCATTGGGAGAAAGTGCAGTGGAGCAAACAGAAACCTATCTTGGAACTATGGCTTGGATAAATCATTAAAGTCCCCTACTCTTAGCTAAGATCCTAATTCTAATCAATCCTCCAGAATACTAATTACTTTTTAAATTGCTGATTGCTTGAATGGTATCTAGTTCAAGTTGACCCTTACAAAAGAAGGATAGAAAAAAAAGTTGCAGTGGACTTGATTTGGTATGAGGGCTGGAGTGAAGAGGCACATTACATAGAAGGGCTATCTTATTTAGTCTTTAGTTAGTTGCTACTCAACATGGGATGAAAGCATCCATTCCAATTTCCATCTCAAAGATCAACAGCAAATAAGAAAAACTGAAAGGAGACTTTCTCCCTTCCCACTTCTCTGTCTCCACACACACACACACACACACACACACAAACATATACAGTTAAAAGCATTCATCCATTTATGTCACATCTGTTTGGGCTGTAAGGTTGGAGAGAGATAATAATACTTTGAGAAAAAGCTGGAGATGATTTGTGGGCCATGCTACACATTATGAGAAACATGCATCAGCATTGCTAAACTGGATGCTTTTATACAAGCAGCTGCAAGTCTCTAATCTGGATGATGCTCCCAATCTGGATCTAATCTAATCTGGCTATGCACCCATGGCAGTAGACTTGATGTGCACATACAAAATTCTACTCTTTTTTTTTAATGCTTTAATTAATCCATATTGTTTCTATTTCAGATAAATGCAATTCATTCCTGGTGTGAGACTCTAAAATGAATATGCAAATTGATTAACAGATAACCAACTATAGTGGTTTTGTCTTAAATATATGCCCCCTAGCAAGCATTATGGGCAAAACTCCAGATTGCATGCATGTAATTTACAGAATATGTCATCTTCATTATGTGATTTTGAGTAAAAAAAAATTGCATCTAAAAAGAAGAAGAAAAAAAAAAGGAAGCTCTATTTGTAAACTGCCTAGAGTCCATTTAATTAACAACTAAGAGATGTGAGGTACACAAACTCCAAGTCTTGCTGCAGGAAGTCAGAAGGTTCTCAGAAACTTGCTGCTTCAAAGGTGAGAGCCAAAGGCAGCTACTTACAATGCAGTGGGGTGCAGTCAGCCAGCAGGCAGGGAGTTATGAAGATAGCACATTAGGAAAGGGGGAAAGAAAGAGAGGAGGAGACTCCTGGTTACCACATTAAAGGAAATGTCACAAGTCTTCTAAAATAAAAGCAGACTGCTGAGAAGCTCAAAGAAGCAGTCTTTCCTCTTCAGAACTCCACCTTCCATGACCTCGGAGCTCTGTCTCCAAAGGTGACAAAGAGAATTGCTTCCTGTAGCTTTTCCTGCCATACAAAAGCATGGAACATCCTGCCTTGAAACAAGTCCACTCTTGCTCCTTTTGCAGGATCTGTGCCTTCAGCCTAAATTCAAATCAAACTATGTTTCTGGCCTCTTTACTAACAGTAAAAGGGAATTTAACTGGATACTCTGACGTTGGGCATTGGTCTTCAAAGCAACCAAATAGTTATGATACAACTCTAATATTTATATCCTTTGCTAAACACATTGGTTAAGTTTTACTCTTGAAACATATGTAGTCCTCTGAATCAATGGTTCTTACAATTATGCTATGTTTTTTAAGGACATATAAATAGACAAGCCTTTTCTGCTTAGATTAGAGGGTAGACATGATATAAATCAGAGGTAAGTGAGCTGGGGCCCCTATGAATGTTTTAGGCCTATTTTCAACAGCTCCAGCACACAAGGACTTTTATAAGGCTGTAACACCTTTCCATGTATCCATCTGATGATGCTCTAACAATATTTAAAGATTTGTGATAGGTTCATGTGGCAGAGGCTTTTAAACACATTAATACCTTAAGATGAAGCCACAGAAAAGTACTGCTGGGCCCATATATTCACTTTGTGACGTTTTTGCTTCAATATATTTTCAAGTTCAAATTTGAACTTACTGTACCTTCCAAGTCTCTCGTTTCCTTTCCTTACTATGGAACAACATCACAATCCAGCCACCTCCTTAAACAGCCATAGAGTCTTTTTGAAAAGTTTGAAATTCATCTCTCTTCTGTGTTTAGCCACCGTACAACTAAGTCACTTCTGAACTTGGTATGCAATGTTATAACAATGAGGCTCTTCTAGTTGATCTTGGTTAAAACTCTGCCCCACATGTTGGTCATTTCTTTCCTTGACTACTACAGTCTTCACTCTGATTTCCATGATCTCAGTTTGGTGTCTCAGTATCTATCCAGCACTCTGCTGCTCAAATCATGCAGTTCTCTCGTTACTCTGACCTCTTGTGACACCCCTTCATAAAACCATACTTTGGCTTCCTGTACATAATTGGGTTCTATATAATACCTCCTAATGCTTAGATTTGAATTCCTCTAGGGCTTCCACCCCACCCCTCTTACAAATATTTCTTTGCTCTGTTTTCTAATATATCTATTCATGACTTTTCACTTTGCTGTTCAAAGGTTCTTCTCTCCTCCTGCTAAAGTTCCCATTCTGTCTTCCCTGCTGCTCCTTCTGTTTGCAGCTCCTTTTCTGAAGTCCTCTATTCCTTTTGGTTCTTGTCCTTGTCTTAAATGTTCCTTGGAAAGGATCTGTCTTTTCATACACTATGGAGTTTCACGCAAAGGACAACAGTAGCACAACCACAACATCTAAAGGCATCTTGGTAAGCTATATGGACCTGTTCCAGCTCATATCCCTATGTTTTTAAAAGTTAATAGAAAATAAGAATTGTCCACTTAAAAGCCTAGTGCTATTTTGCCTGCATGAGTTACATTGCTGAGGGTGGGTTTACTTTTTCTGAACACATGGAGGCACCCTAGGATAAAGATTGATGAGAGATCTAGCAAGCCAAACTTTTCTGCTGAGCCCTGCTCTCACATTTTTGAAAGGCCAATACACTTCCCTATTTTTCAAAGTGTATTATGTCCAGGTCTGGCCACTAACCATTAACTTTTGTATAGCTTATTGAGCCACTTCACTTCCAATGTACTCCATCACACCTAAGCAGAACTGTGATTTATTTTAAATTGTATGCCCAAATATGTGTTAAAGCCATGCCCAAACTGTACCGTGTCTTTTATAGATGGGTGGTTTCCGGTAGATGTTACTCTCTGCAGCAGCTGGAGGTAAAGAAAGAAAAATAATGAAGGAAAGAAGGAGATAGCAAAAGGGAGGAGCCAGTGTGTGTAGCTAAGAGATACAGGAACCTGCCTGTCATTCTTGAAGAGGGGTGGTGGGAATCTTCTCTGTATCATTTTGGCAGCACAAGTAAGAACATGTATGATATAGAGAAGGTTAGCATGATCCCTGTACTAGTCATAGGAGTCACCAGATTTGCAGATAAAGTTGCCCGTCCAAGATTTCATTGCCTGCTTACTCCATTTAGTACTTTCCCATCTTAAGATAAAGCAGCCTTATCTTAAATACTTGCAGAGCAAACTTAGGCTAGGAGATGGTTTAATGAGGGAAGAAGGAATTAATCCTCTTTGTGTGCTATTTTGACAGCTATAAGACAGTGAATGTGTGCGTGCACAAGAGGTCATGCTGTGAGCATGCTCACTATTGACAGCATGCAGGGTCAGGCAGACAGCTCTCCTTCTGGCACAGCTTGCCTCAGTTTGGGAGATGGGAAGGCCTCCTTTGGTGAGTGCTAATGGCCATTGTCTCCTTGTCTGGCAATGGCACCAGATGATTTATGAGTTGGCTCCCTAGAGATACAGAGACAAAAATCCCATCCCATGCTTGTCCAGGAGCAAAACAAGTCAGCCACATTCTCTTCAAATGAGAGAGAAGCAATGCAAGCTGGGAACAGGAGCTACTCTAGCAGCACAGAGGCTTGCTGATGGGCTGATCCAGTGGGGTAGGCAAAAGGACCATCCATAAAAGACATAAGCAAAAGCTGCAGGGCACTAGCCATCTCAACATCAGTTTCAGCAGGGCCAGTAATGAAAGGGAAATATGACAAGGGAAATTCTAGAAAATACAGGCCAATTCAGGTGGAACAAGCTCTTTTCCAACAAGACAACCAATTATATCAGCTGATCTTGCCTAACAGGTCAGTTTCATCTCCCTGAAGATTGCAATAAATATGTGGAAATACTTAATCCCAAATTGTAAACTTCAAGTGTTTCTACAAGAACCAAGATCCACATAAAGTTTGATAACTTGGGAGATGAATGAAAAATAATCAGATCCCAAACATGAACTTTATCAGCTGACTGACTTCACCATAAACCAACTGTGACCTTTGTGGAAGCCAATGGGATCCACACTGTTATTTCAGGCTGAGTGAATGACAAAGAGCAAAACCTTGAAAAGTAGACTGTGGTTCCATTCTGGTAGGAATGTGTCTGTCAAAGGAATAAATCCCAGTCCTAACTTGCCCTAGTTCTAGATCAGGGTTCTCCAAAGTGGTCAGTATTGACCCCCAAGGGTTGATGGGACTATTATTGTTGTTATTATTATTATTCATTGTACTATTAGTTAAATTAGCATTTATTAAATTATTTTCATATAATAAATGTTTGGGAGTTGATGAACATTCTGAAACTTCATGAAGGGGTTGATGAGCTGAAGAGTTTGGGGACTCCTGTTCTAGACTTGAAGAATGAAGGAGAGCTCCCACTGCTGCCAGCTTTGGCACAGGTGTGGACTTTACATGCTTTGACCAAACAAATGAGGCTCAATTTACCATGTGAGCAAAGCTGGTTGCTGACTGTGCAGGCAGGCAAGTGGCAGGTAAGTGGGGAGGGTGTACATGTCTCTACTTGCACACTGACAAGGGACAGGGGTTGACTTCCCTCCTACCCCCCTCTGCAGGAGGGGTGGGGCAGTGGCCCTTACCTGGGTCTCTGCTGGAGGGGAACGGCCATCTGGCAAGTCCAGAGAGATCTGGGGGAAGGGTGCAGCGGGCCCTGAGGGGAGCAGGAGGAGTATAAGATAAATTATGTGTCAAGGTTGTAGTGGAGAAAAGCTCTTAACTGACAGACAAGCTTTGCCCTGTGGTCCTTGAGGGAGGAGAAGGGAAGGCGAGGAAGAGGAGAGTCTTTCCTTTGTACAGGGAGAGAAGCTGCAGGGGAGGGGAGAAAGAGACTTTAGAGGCAAAGGAGAGAAGGCTGCAGGTCTTGTTTATGGATGGCCTCTACCATGCAGTTGTAGCTTGCTGTGGCCAGCTTACCTTAGGCTGGCAATAGCACTACTCATGCAAATAACATACTTGGCACAAGCATGCAGGCTAAAAAACAAAATAAAAAAGATCCCATACAGCACTCCTTCATGGCTGGCCAGAGGCCTCCAGAGCCTACCTGGAATGTGGAAATGCTTAGGAGCTTGGTATGAGGTTGGTGTAGAAGACCTCACATCTAATTGGCTATAGTAGGGGGAGCTGCGCCCACTCTCTGTTCCTTGAAAGAGCAGATTGGAGGGAGCAGCAGAGAAGAAAAGAGAGAGGCAGAGGAAAATTGATGTTAAAAGCAGCATGTTATAAGACTAGCAAGCCATCTGTGAATCTGTAGTGGGAGTGCATGGGTGGAAGGGTGGTGGTGGTGATGGCGGTGCTGATTCTTACACGTAACAGGAAGACTGATGGGTTCATAGACAGACAGGAGCCAGAAGAAAACTCACAAGTGCATGCCAATGGTGGCGGTTCTAAACCCATTCTAGCAGCAGTCTATGACTATAAGACACTTTGTTTTAACAGATGATAAGGTCTCATAAGCAAATATGAAGCTGGAGGCCTAACCCTCTTTTACTGGACAAAAACATCTTTGTATTTTTTCTTCCCAGTTCCACTGTCTTCCTCATGCAACATATCAAACCCTAGTCTGTTTACATCAAAGCATTACCATCTCTGCCTATGTGTACATGGATCTTGTGTGTAGATGCATTCTGGGGTGGTGGGGAGGGTGGTGAACTGCTATTTTGGAACTGAAACGTTTGAGCTTTAAGCACTCTCTTTCAAATTCAGAACTGTTGTTTGGGTTTTGAAATAGGTTGTTCCAATCATTCCGAAAGTATTTTGAGTTCAAAAGAACATAGTTTTGAGTTTGAAACAGATTTTTGAGCTGGAAAAAGGCCTGTTTCTAGCTCAGAACCTATCACGAATGCAGGACAAATGACACATCCACAGTGGCTTCCCACATCATCTGCTTCTTTCCATTTCAATTCTGCCACAGAATCATTGCTCTGAATTTGCTGAGGAAAAAGAAAATGGAGCATGGACAGTGGAGTGAAGTTCATCACAACTCATTGGTGTCCTGAAGACAGTCAAAAACAGAGCTAGGCACTTGCCTACCATTCAATCAAGGAAGGATCCTATGCAACGGAAGACACTGTACAGTGGTGCCCTCCTTGTCCCCCTGATTTCATAGTGCAGGCTGTTCTGGATATGGAAAGAAGTTTGGCAGCACAGAGTGTCCCTTGGAAAGAACTTGATCTGTCCCTCTGAGGATGTGCTGATGCAAAGTTCTGGTGGGCAAATGTCTTTGAATCCTGATGGAGAGAGCCGTGCCCTACCTGAGCGGTAATAATGATGCGGAGAGCGTGGGATGGTGGGAGACATGCCTTGGCGGCTGTAGGTGGGCGAGTCAATGTAGCCCGGGCTGGATGCTCGCCTCTGCCTGATGTCCATGCTCTCATAAATATCCTGCAAAAAATTCAAAAGCTTTGTTTATAAAAGACCCAGTTCCAGGAAGGTCAAGATGTATGTACATTAGCATGCATCCTGGCTCTCTGAATATTATATTCTTTTCCCAACTGAGGGCATCTTTTCCCAATGTGTGCAAATATATTACATCACAAAGACAATTTGCTTTACCCAGAGCACTTTTCATTTAATAGCATGGGAGGGAGGCTTCTTTTATAACCTCAAGGCTTAGCAATAAAGCTAGTTCAGCCTCCTTGGCCCTCCACAGGTAGTTTTTCCCAGCCTGGCTCTCCTCAAATTCTTTCAGCTCTCATTGCTCAGATATGTGAGCCTGCAATTAGTCTTACGCACTGTGTGATTACCTGAGAATATGGAGACAAGGTTCCAAGAGACTACAAATGACAGAAGGTCAGAGACAAGCCGCCAGGGAGTAAAGAGCAGGAAAAGAAAGAGAGGGAAAATGATTACAAGCTGATATAATGGTTCTGCACCACAAGCCAGTTCATCTTCCTCCAAATTCACTTTGCAAAACTACAACCTTATCAGAGCTGCTGAGGCACTGAGAACACCTGGGAGAAAGAGACTCCAAAATAACAAAGAAAGAGAAAACCAATCCCATAACTTTTTCCCAGTGTTGTGGGAAAAGCCACAAGACAGCTCAGTGTTTCACTTCCCTTCACTTCTGTTCTTGTCACCTCAAAGGGATGTATGTGCCTGCCTGGTGTAACCTCACTATCAGCCTCTGTTGAGCCCTTTTCCCTGGACCCTCCATTTTACAACTGTTTAAGTCCCCGAGAACCAAATCTTTGTCTTTGAACAAACTTAGTTCTGAAAATAACACAGGAGAACTTAAGACAGCATATTCAGTTCTCAGGCAACACATAAGGTTTGAAATGAAGCTCAAAGGGATCCTCCTAGATCAAGTATGTGCAGAGGGTATGGCAAAGGCTGATGTGTGAATGTAGTGGAACAGTGGAGGACCACAACTTTCTTGTATCAGACTCACATCTGCCTATTAAGATATGACAAATATGTAGAAATTAAATATTTGCATGGTTCCCTCTTAATCATATTTTTGAAACAAGTACAGAAACTCGCCTACAGGCTTATCTTAAGATGCGCTTCCTCTAAACTTTAAAAAGTGTCTTCAGCACACATTTGTTTGGGAAAAGGAGGACTAGCTCAAATTCAACAGAAAGCAAAAGGCAAAACATTAAGTGGCATCGCTTAGACCGTTTCTGAAGGCCTCTGATTGCACCATATTGGTCCATTTAAGAACAAGCATAGTCCAGAGTACAGGTAGTCCTCACTCAGTGACCACAATTGGGACTGGCAACTCTGTTGTTGAGTGACATGGTCATTAAGCAAGATATCACATGATTGTGACAGGCTTACAACCTCACTTCCACTGTGGTCATTAAGTGAGCTATCACTGGTCATTAAGTGAGACATCACATGACTGCAATTTGCAATTTTACTGCCTGCTTCTCCATTGACTCTGCTTGTTGGAAGTCAGTTGTGAAGCACACAAATGATGATCATGTGACCACAGGATGCTGTGATGGTCATAATGTGAGAACTGGTTGTAAAGTTACTTTTTCAGTGCCATCGTATCTTTGAACAATCGCTAAACTAGATGATTGGTAAGCGAGGTCTACCTGCCTTGCTGTGCAAGTAAGAAGCATCCAGATGGGCTCCTTACCAAGCAGCTTTGGGAGATGAAGTGGTAGAAGAGGCACCTGAAGTAGTACTGGCAAAGAACAGAGTCACTACAACTGAACACAGATTAAGTGCTCAGAGTCAAGCCTACACCATGGTAGGATAAGTGGCAAAAGAGCAACATTTCTCCATAGATCCTAAGAAAGTAGATAGGGTCCTCTGTGATATCAGCTCTGCCACTTGTGAATTAGATTCCTGCTGTTCCAGGTGGCTGAAAATCTCCAGGGAGGAGGCAGAAGGCTAGATTAGATAGGTAAATGGGGAAAGGATGGCGTATAACTGTGAAAGAGGTTCTGGTGCAACCCCTACTCAAGAAGTCAGCACTTTCTCTAAGAACAGGAAGGTGGAGGGTAGCTAACAGTAATTTAGTCAGTTGTTGAGACAGCCCTTGATGAAGTTGACCCTTCCCTTACGGGGTGCCTTATAATTTGGCCCTCTCCCCCCATTAAGCTACTGGGAGAGATCATCCACTATATGGATGATACTCCATTTTACACATCTACCTTGGGCTGAATAGATGTTGTTAGAGACTAGGGTGCCGGAAGACTATTAGGGACTGGATAGAGAAAAACAGATTTAGACTCAATCCTAGCAGAAGAGTGTGACTGTGAGTTTAGAAATTGAAGGATTTAAGTAGAATTCCATCCTTGGCACTGGACAGCTTTGTGCTCCCCTATGCACAGATCATCTGTAATCTGGGTCCTTTAGGACTTACAACTCTGCATGAAGAGCAAGTAGAGGCCATGACTAAGAGGCCCTTGTACAGCTCCATCTTGTGCATCACTTACTGCCATTCCTAGGTTGGGAGGTTTTGTTGACAATTACCTATGCCTTTTTTCACCTCATGTTTGGATAACTGCAATTTGCTGTACATCAGACTGTCCTTAAAAACCACCAAGAAGCTATAATTTGTCCAGAATGCAGCGGCTTGAGTACTAATAGGTGTCCTGTGGTTCACCCGTGTTACACCATTACTTTGGGAGCTACACTGGTTGCTGGCAGGTTTCTGGTTGAAATTCAAATTGTTAGACATTTATGAGTCCTTTATGGTTCAGGACATGGATGTGTGTGGGATCACCTTTTCTGGTGGAATGAACTCATCCATTAAGATGCAGCAAGGAAGGCTTGCTCAGGTCCCAATCCACTGACATCAGGGACTCTGAGAATGAGCCTTCTCTGTGTCAGCCCACCTTCTCTGGAAAAGTCTACCCATAGAAATAAGGGCAGCCTGGGTCTTCCAAAGGGCCTTTGGGAAAACTAGATACTTGAATGACTACTGAAAAAATAGCACTGGGGGGTGTTTGGGTTAGTGTTGTTGCAGTGCCTGTCAAGTTTGGTTTATTTTGTTCTAGTTTCTTCCCTATCCGGATTACTTTGGCTTTATTGTTCTTAATCTGTTGGCTGAATTGTGGAATGCAAACCATTCATAGTCATACTGAATGAAGCAGCATATAAACCCTAGTAATAAATAACAAATAAATAATTCCTCGGTCCAGTTCCAGACTGCTTATAGAGTAAATTTATTTCATCAGGTTCTCACCTCTATATGATAACGCTGTATTTCCCTTTCTGAACAATATTTTAAACAGAAGTGCTGTTGTAGCCAAGCCCTGATTTAAGTTTCTCCAAATGTTCCATTTTGCCTGGATTTAAAAATATCCTGGCTTCCTTGGAGATATTCAGAAAGAAGTCTCAAGTCTTACTAGTAGCACTTCTTTGTAACTCCGTAAGTTGTCCAAGACTGAAACTCATGTCTTCATTTGCCAGGGAAAGATGGAACATTGGGCCATGCAGGTCCCATTGGTTCTTTCTATCATGCTCTCAGTCCCCAAAGAGATATATGAGTGCAGCCGGATCAATGGATATCTTCTGTGAGAAAGTGGGATAAGGAACTTAACATATTTGTGTTCTGATCTGATGGTTAATAAGGAGCCTGTTAACATTGAGGCTCTGGCCTGAGCTTTTCACTGACTTTCCAGAGAAGGAGCTGTATAATTTTGTTGCTTCAGTCATTTATTTGCCATAAAATAATTCTGATAAGGGGTGGTTGCCAATTGCTAAAAGCTCTGCTGCCTTGGAGCTGTCCAAAAGGACTGTGTTCCCTTCTGTCAAAGGTCTGGCATCCTTCTGGCAGAAACATCTCCCTGCCATTTAATTAACCATTCTCTTTTTCAGAAGAAGCAAGAAGGCTGATGCTGGACTGGTCCAGCCTAGCCATGTTCCCCACCAGTATCCTAAATCAAAAGCTTTTACAAATAGACTGTGGATAGCACAGTAACATTTCCAAATAGGACAGAATCTGAACTCTGTCACCGGCAAAGGACAGGCCCATACTAGCAGATTTGCTTCATTTTCCATTGCACCCATCAAGACATCCATTCTCTTCAACTCATCAAGGAGGCTTTGATGTGTTGGACATAACTGCAGAGAGCTGCCCAGGTGCATTTGAAACTGAGGCATCATCTTTGTGCTTGTCCCATTTTCACTGATTTTAGTAACAACTGAATTCTTATTTGTCTCATCCTTGGTCAAATGTTACACAATGAGTAATGTGCAAACTTCTCATGTGGCTTCTTTGGTTTGGGCTCTGTATGTTCTGTCTATACAGGCATTGTACATGGTTAAGATTTAGCAACAAACTGTGATTAAATAAACAATGGCGCAATATTTTTGTTCAGTCCATCCGATCTATACTTGGAAAGTGCTTTTGCATTTTCCATTAAATAGGATGGAATCTATGCTTTTGGACCAGTCTCACCTGGATACTATCAACTTACCAATTTGGATGTTCCTTTTTTTGGAGTGAGGGATATATACTGTGAATCTCAAACATTCTCATTGAAATTAATGGGATTTGCAGCCAGAGGATAGAGACAAATCTCTGCTTCTAACAGAGACTTCATTCATTCTGTACAATCCAGGTGAAATTGCTTAGAAACTGTACCTCCCCATAGCTATATCTCTCCAGTGTTTCATCCGAAGTATATCTGTGATAAGGCTCATAAGAAATGAGGTCAGGGCGTTGCACCTCGTAGATGGCTTTAATCTTGGGAAGAGCAGCCAAATCTTTGTAATTAAGGATTTCATTATCCACTTTAGCCTATGGAAAGGGAAAGATATAGATAGACAACCACAGAGAGAAAAGCAACAGGAACTTGGAATGCAGAGGAGAAAGAACACATTAGAATGCAAGGCTGAAGGAATCTTCAGAGCAAACAGTGACAGATACTTATGATAAAGGTAAAAAGAAGGAAGGAAGGAATCTTGAAGGGAATGCCAGGGCTTTCCCTGTGTAGATGAGGCAACAATGGGAAGGAGCAGTTGGCTCAGGATTGAAACTAGTGCCAGGCTTTGCTTTGACTACATGCATCCAAATTCTTCTGTAAGACAGATGATGCTCAAAGAGGACACTGGCATAGTGGCATTAAGCAGACAGATATTCATGGATGGGAACAGACCACTCAGGCTGAACTTGCCAAATGCTTTCTTTGGCACATATTTGGTTTGGAAATCTGTTCCAAGATTGAAGGAGAACAGTTCTCAATAGATATGTTACTTTACTGGTTGATCTTTTCTTCTCATTTCTTCTGGGATTCACAGGGCATGCATTTCCAAATTATTCCTATAGGAGCTGCCAGCCTCAGTTCTTGGTTTTCCATGTTGCTTCAGCCCCAGAATTATACTTACACAAATGACTCGGTTGGGGGAACCAATGCTGGAGCCAGGAGGGGATATGGATGTTTCTGAAGTTCTTCTGTGCTGTGTAGACAGAAACAGGCAAGTCAGTTAAAGTTTCCTAGCCTTTGCCTACAGATAATACTGAAGAAACATTCCAACCTACACTGACCAGAGTTGCCAACACAGTAAGGGCAAAAAAGTCACATACCTACATCTATTCTTTCTGGTCAAAAAGCTTTAATTCCTACAATATATATTTTGCTGCACTTTGCTACTTGCCACTCTAAGCTGCTAGCTCACCTTCCTCACTCCATGCATATTCTGAATTTCAATCTTCCATCCACTGTATATTAAATAACTCTGAAATGCTCTCAGTTACTATACTTTACATCTCCATCATTACTTTCAATTAAAGCTAGTATGCTGGAGGGCCTAATGAGATATTATAGTACAGACGAGTCTGTCATCAACTTTCCTTTTGCACCCTCCTTCTCCATTAACATTTGGTAAAAGTCATCCATTTGGTACCTGTCCTCTCCAGTTCATTGACTGGTATTGGCAGTCACTGAGTATAATGATGAAATGCCACTTGTTTCCTTTACTAGATACTACTGAAGAGATACAGTACAGCATGAGGAGTTTTGGGTATGAAACTGAAGCAGCTCTACATCTTCTGTAATGTGTAGTTGTGCCTTGAGTCTCCAAAGCAATCGTCTCCCATTCTCCCTGATAACTAGCCATACTGGCTATAACTCATGAGAATTATATCCCAAAACATCTGGAGGAACCCAATGTGGGAAATTACTGTAAAGACAAATTGCTTAAGGCTCTTTTTGTAACACTTGCATATACTGAATCATGCCACTGGATCTCTCTAAGCCATAGAGCATTTCTGCCAGACCACCCTGACAGCCTGTAGAGCAGAGTTAATGGTCAGCCCTCCCAATCACTTTGGGAAATAATGCTTTGGAAGCACTCATAAAACAGGTAGAATTTGAGAGATGAGGCCAAAGTGCTCTTGTGATATCAATTGCACCACAAATATATGCTGGCTTCTTTGGACAAAGATTTCAACAAGTTTTTTCCTATTCTAGCCATTATCATCAAATCATACACCTGGAGGGAATTCAGAAGTCGACTAGTTCAGCTCCCTGCTCAATGCAGGATCTGCTGAAGCATTTTGGACCACTCTTTTGAACCTCCAGTAAATGGGAACATACCACAGCCTTCCATATGCACATCATGATGCAAACTCTGCCCATTATGTACTTATATTGTGACTCATGATATATTGAGTCACATTTGCTGCAGATGTTCCTAGTGTATATCACTTCACATGGCTGCCTATTTCACCAGCTGACAGCTCTTATTGCCAGGAAATTCCTCCTAATACCTAACCTGAATCTATTTCCCTGCAATTTCAACCCATTGGTTCTGGTCCTGCCTTCCAAGGTGAAAGAGAACAAATCCATCCCCTAACAACCCTTTAGATATCGGAAGACTGCTATTACAGGTAGTCCTCGCTTACTGACTGCCTTGTTTAGCAACTGCTCAAAGTTACGATGGTATCAAAAAAACCAGCTTTGTGACTAATCCTCACATTTATGACTGTCACAGCATCCCACAGTCATGTGATCGCCATTTGGGAGCTTCACAACCAGCACACATTTACAACCGTTGCAGTATCCCACGGTCACATGATTGCCATTTGCATGCTTCTCCTGGCTTGTGACAAACAGAGTTAATGAAGAATGCGGAAGTAAAATTGCAAGTCACGATCATGTGATGTTTTGCTTAACGATTGTGGTGACTGGCTTAATGACCAAAGAGGAAGTGACATCATAAGTCCATCACAGTCACATGATTTTCCACTTAGCGATTGCAGCGCTTAGCAACAGAGTTGCCAGTGCCAATTGTGGACACTAAGTGAGGACTACCTGTATAGTCTTCTCTTCTGAAGACTAAACATAACCAGTCCCTTTAATTATTCCTCATAGGACTTGATTTCCATTCCTGTTACCATCTTAACAGCACTTACTCCAGTTGGTCAATGTATACTTTATTTTAGATTTTGGAGCTCAGAACTGGACACATTATTTCAAGCTGGGCTTCACCAAAGCAAAGCAGAGTAGGGTGATTACTTCCAGTGACCTGAACTCAATGCTCCTGTTATTACATCCCAAAATAGCATATGCAGTATCAGCAGCTATTGGCCCGCACTGTACAATGTGTAATCTGCTGAAATTTCTTCCAATACTTGTGCCTTTCATTTTTCTCCCAAATTCTAACTTCACATTTCTCCTAGTTAAATTCCATCTTGTTGATGCTGATACCCTGTTCAAGCTTATCTAGATTGTTTTGAATCTTCTCTTTCTCTTCTAAAGCTACTCCTCTTAAGCTTATGTGTCATCTGCAAATTAAAACTTCAAAACCCAGAATGCAATAAATCTACCTATGTGAAGGATAGAAATGAGTTGCTAAGAGCCTGGTCCAATCTCAGTGAGCCTCTCCTTTTTTTTTTCCCCCCCCATGATAAAAATGCAAAAGACCAAGACCAACCAATATATCTGGCAATTCAGTTCTGGAACTAACAAGTGACCTTTACCTTGACTCAATACTGAGGTTTAAAAATAATTATCTAATGGTCAGAAATGTGAAATTAGGGCAGGAAGGAGAAGCAAAAGGTAGCCTGATTGGAAGAGAGTTTGGCCTGGAATACAGACAAAACAGTTCTACTTTATGGCCCTGGACAGAAAAATGCAGCTGTACAATATTATGTAGAAAACCAATTTGTAGCTTAGATGGAAAATGAGGTTTCCATGGCTACACTGGTGTTACACCTAGATTTGAAGCTGTGCATCCCAGATAGGCACTGAACATATACCAGGCATCCAGTGTCAAATGCTGGGGCAGGAGAATCTTGATTTCATATTTTACCAGTTTACAACAGAATCTAATAAACACAGTTGCAGTACAGAATATGTAGATTTGAGAAATAGGCATCAAGAACATAGTTACAGTCCAGATCCCTTGGCCATAGCTTAAAGGTATCATTTTTATCTTATTCCTCATGCGCACACCTCTCTGTAGGCCAAAGCTTCCAGATCCTAAAATTCAAACCTATTTCTGTTCACAATTATTTTGTAAATGGGACTGTTAATTGAATAACAGCATTTCAATTAAATAAATTCTTTGGCTAATTTGCAGTAACCATTTTAGTGAATACCAGTGCCCACGAGTAAAAGTTTGCTGCCCAGACTTCCCCAATTTTAGTTTACCTTTAACTTCTTTTCGGCTCTTGCTGCTTGTTTGCAGATAGGATGCCAGACTTCTGAACCTGCCATGGAGGAGTAAATGTCAGAACTACAAGCTGTCCAACTGCATGTGTACTTTACCCAACATTACCTAAGTTCATAAAGAAAAAATACTACCAAAATCTTCCAATATTCCTTCTCTCAGCAAGATACTGCTCCTTTTTTGCAAGAAGATCCATTAATTTTTGTCATCTGATAACATCATGGATATTTTTGTTGCAAAGATTCCAATTGGATTGGGCTATTTTGAATTGCAAACGGGGACTAGGAACACTTGAGTCCTTTCCACACTCCCATCATTTTCATTCCTCAGACCCTTAAAAACATTTTCAAAGTAATTCAGAACTGTCCTCAACATAGCTCACTTCAAAATGCAAATAACCCCTGCCACTATTCCTTCCAGTTGACCAATGGGTGAGCATTACAAATGGCACTCAGCCATGCTTATGTGTAAAAATCACTCCTATTGGTAAAATGAGAAAGCTACTATGGCATAATCTCTCTCCTTATAATGCAAAAGAAGAATGAAAGCTGGTATCTCAGCATTATGATAGTTGATATTCTATGGGGAATGGGGAGAATCTAGGACTATTCATTGCCCTGTAGCATTAAGCAAACAGATAGATGCTGTCAAGTGCTTCAAGAGCTTAGGTCTCAGTAAATGAATGAAGCTCTGAATTTATGATACTGGTTCATAGCTACTATTCCCCTATTGATGTATAAAAAAAATCAAGGATCACCATATAGAGGACAATACAAATCAGTGACCTCCTACAAAATACCATCTTTGTTGGAGATGTGCAACTTAATTTTATTGTGGAGTTCTTGGTGCTCTCTGAGCTTGATTGCTTGCTTGTAGATGCTTCATTACCCAACTAGGTGAACAAGATATATTCTCTTCTATTGGAACTCATTGTTTTTTACTCCCTCACAGTTCCAGGCCTATCACATCTTTCTAGATTTGACAGATTGAGAAAAGTTGATGGAAGGCTGTAGTATGAATGCATCTGAGTACTAATTGTTCAGATAAACTTTGAATCAATTCTTACTCCTGGATTATTAATCAAACTGGCAGCAATGTCTGCCGAAAATGGGAGCAAAAGGCTGGAACAATAGAGAACAATCAGGTAATGTTAAGAGATAGAAGAATGAATCAAAGACTATTATCAATTAATAAGCAAAAGAAAAATACCCTTAGGGTGCTGTAGGAATAATAATGATTTGTATAAGAGCTAGCTTTGAGAAGGATAGCCAATACAATGTAAAGTAATACAGTATGATAAACCATCTTGATTTTGTTGGCAGAATGTGTGTGTGTGTGCATGCACGTGCATGTGTGGGTAACAAATAATAAAGTCCTCAATCTAATGCCCGTTTTCTAGCCTCACCTCTAATTTCTGAGCTACATAAGAAAGAGACATGTTTTCAGACTTAGGGATGATATTCCCTGTTCTTGATTTATGGACTTTATTGACTTATATTATCATCTGAATTTGAAGGATTCTAGAAAGAAATATAATGAGAACACATTATATTTCTGTCATAATTATATATTATGACATCACATATTTCAAGGTTGTGGCTGGATCTTCATCCCAGAAATATTGTTAGTGTACTAAATTTCAAAATTAGTTGTCCTGTCTGATAATAAAGGACATTGTAAGATCACAAGCATTCTCCTTTTTTCTTCTTTGTCTTATGGGTACAAAGACCTCTGTACAGTTTGAATTAGATATGCTTCTCTCTGTTTATACAGAGACATTATCCAAGCTGACACTGAATGAGTTGCCTGAGACAGAACAAAAAAAGAGGAGAAAAGCCAGCTTCCATTTCTGCAGCCTGAAAAGTATGTTTTGGATTGCAAGAGATGAAAATAATTTTGATGAACAGCCTGCTAATTCCCCTTGATTGCAACAGAAGGCCCTCCACCCATGGCTTGTGTCCAACCCATGATCAGGATCACATATGTTGTGTTCCCATAATGTCATTGGCCTTCTTTGAGGAGGTGATTAACTTCTGGTTCAGTAGTGGTGCAGGAGACTCTGCTGGGAGAAGAGCTGTACAGTGTTAACCCCGAAGCTGTGCAGCAGGTGGTTCCCCAAAGGTGGCAACTTTCATCTCATCCTGCTTCCCAGTTTCTTGGCTCTCTTTCTCCCTGCTGAGATCAAGGCACCCTGGCACCATTTCACTGTGTTTCTTAAAGACCAGATTGACTTTCTGTTGTTGGGAAGGCAAATACAAGGAGGCAACAAGGAACATGAGGAGGTGGGAAGGGATTCTACATGAACTTATTTTTGTGCTCTCTTACTGGCCAGTGGAGGGAGTACTGGTCAGTTCATGGGAAGTACTGAGCGTTATGAGGATGGCAAATGCTCCTAAGGGCTTGGGAAACAAAGCCAGTGACTATGTAGAAGAGCTCAGAAATGATACTAATCCAGCAGAAATGAAAACATTAAAACCTGTTCCCAAGCAGTCATAATGATTCTGTATTGGAGAACCTCCATCTCGGTCCCCTTGTGTTGCTTCTGTTGCTATGACATTATTCTTTTCAGACAGAAATGTATACCAAGGTTTATAAACATTGTTCTAGCTGCACTTGCTCCTCTTGTTTGTCCTGGGGTAGAGGAGTGAACGAATGTGCCTTCTTTGAACAAGGAGGTTTTTAAAAATAATTGATTCAAACTATAGCAATATAACATTACCATATCTGACATTTGCTGTAAAGTTCCTCATAGGTGGCTAGGGAGCAAAATGGGGAGATATTTTGGCAAGCTCATTCTTTATTTTTTGTAATCCTTGGAATCATCCCTGTCTCAAAGAGGTAGCACATGTCTCCAGTTTTTCCAGCCATCATCCCCACCATTCTCCACCTTACATTACTTCTCCGTTTTAGATGCCCTTCAAGATCATGCAAAGGAACTTCTCATAAACAGTAATTGGGCCAGGTTTGGAAAATTTGCCTTTTTTTCATGACCCATCACTGTGGCAGGTTTTCTATTAGCTTTCTATTAGATCAGCCAAGGAGGCACTAATGACACCTCCACTCCCCTACAACAGACCAATTGTTAATTGCCATCCCACGCAGAAAGCTGCCAGCTTCTAAGCCAACAGTTCCTGGAGTGTGAGGGTGGGAGAAAAAACCCAACCCAACAATTAATGTTGATATACAGTGGGTAATTAGTGACTCACAATGTCAAACACCAAAAGACTGTCTAAGAGACTCCCTCTCCAAGCTGAAAATAGATATATGGGGAGGAGAACATTCTAACCTTATATTAAGACCTAGTCATCTCATTTCTTCTTCTTGCAACTAGATACTCCATGAACATGTGAGTACGCTAAGCTTGTTGCAATCAGAAAATTAAAATGTTTGTTTTAGGCTCGATCAAGTGCCTTCTGTTGAAAATTTTAGCATGTTCTCCTTGAAATGGGATTGATAATACAAATTTCAGTTTCATGCAATATTTAGAGAAGATTAATCAGTTTATCTCTAATAAGAACTGAGTCTACCACAATGAAGGACTGAATGTTCTTCAGAGAGGCCCAGCATGGCTCTTAAAAATGTTCATACCACGTTTAAGTTGCAAGTACAAGTTTTAAATTTGCTTCTGTGGGTTAGAGGCAGACTTTTTAATCCTTATTGAGATCTTTTGCCTCCAATAGGTGCTCCTACCTGTGAGGTACATCTCTTCCCCTTCTGTGAACATCTGATGACATCGTACACATCTGGCACAAGTGGGGTGATAATGCTTTCCTCCTGCCTGTAAAAATCAGTGAGAACAAAGAACTGTTGAACCAAAATATTTAGCTAATTCACATTTGTTATTAACTGATTCCTATTGTATCACTTACATTTTCATATATAATACAATGGTATTGGGTTCTATAAAGTAGGCATTATTCATTTCTGTTTGCAGTGCTTTTTGGTTGGTTAGCTTTTTGCTAATAAAATAGTCCATTGGCCAATGTTCTAGCCAAAGACCACGACCATATAAAAATGTGTCTGTGTGTGTGTGTGTGTGTAGAGAGAGAAAGAGAGAGAGAATTTATGTCACATTTTCCATAACATATGATTGTTTCACTAATTCATATAGATTTTTGCCCAAAAATATTTTATGACTTTATAGTCCAACCACATATTAAAGTTTGGTCTTACATTCTCATAAAACATCAGGGTAACATTGCTACAAATACTGTTTAGAATTAAGAAGATGTGAAACCACTTATAATTAGATGATACCACCTAATTATTAACATACCTCTTATTTTTGTTTAAGAAAATTTAAATGGTTTCAGTGGTTCCATTATTGTGCTAAATTTGTCTTCTCCACAATAGACTATTCTCTTTGAATTCCCTGTAGATTTTGATATTTGTATTTTGCATTTGTTTATATCCTTCAGTTTAAGTTTTCAAAATTTTAATGGATTTATTGGGCTCATTGACTTGGTTTGTTCTAAAGTATAACTATTGAAGTAACTATATAACCCAATTGTTCTGAAATTTGCTTTCAATTTTAATGCTTCCAACTCCTTCCCTTATAGTTTCTTCCAAATTCCCACCATGTGATTTGTTGCAGGAAAATTTAGAGATATCAGAGCATTCTGAGATTAAAATCCTGTGGCCTATTAAGTGGATTGTTCTGTACAGGGCTTAACATTAAATTTCATTAGACTTCTGAAACATCATGAGATACATGCATTCCTAAATACTTCACTCTCTTATTTTCCCCTGATTTCTTTTCTATAGATTTGTTACCTGTTTCCTTTTATACACATCTGATTTTTAAAGATTATCTGAAGCCTGCAATCATCATGTCCTACTCCCTGCAACAGAAAATTCTTGCCAAGGCATCGGAATTGTATCATTAGGAAATAGAGGTTTTTTGTTGTATATTGATATTCCCTTATTTGTGTGGTTCTATTGATTGTCTTTATCATCATATTTTTAAATGTTATTTCAAAGGTTGGTTCTAATTAATCAAATATTTTAGTGATTAACAAAGAAGCAATAGTTGTTCCTTATATTTTATTTATATATTTATTTGCTGTAATCAATTGCACCAAGATGTTTTAGTGGAATCCTCTCTCCTTTATTGTCTTAAACAAAATCTCTTTGATCCACTGGAACATATTTTAATACCAAACTATTTAATCCTTTTACTGTAATTCCAGTGAATATTTTCTTCAATAATGTTTCCAGGTTTCAAAATATTATAACCTATTCCCTCTTTAGGATATGTTTTAATAAGTTAGGTAATTGTGGATGAATTGGTTTAACCTTTTGTAAACAAAGACAGAGACACACAAAACCTTCAAAATACCCTCCATCTATGTCCAAACATTTATGCTTGTTTATTTTGTTGATAACATTTTTAATTTCAACTAAGTGATATTTTGATTATGACTTTAATTAATATATTGTTAAATATTTTCTTCTATGGCATTTCTTCTGTAGGCCATTATTAAACTAATGAGGTCAGTTACCAGGCATACAAGGCTTACAGCTGGGGTTTTTGCCCAGGGAAATGATGGTGAGATGTGATGTCAAAGCACGTTGATGCCAGAATGCTCCAACTTCAATATAGGATTGCTCTCTACGTATTGTATTATGGCATTATATCATACACACACAGATGTATAGACAGAGAGAAAACAGACAGATATTTTATTTTGGTGATTCTTGGACCTTGTCCAGCTTTTCAGTTAGGGCACAGAGTACATTTTTGCATATTATGTCAGATTTCCCTCTTCCAAGCATCATTATTTGGTTTTTAATTCCCATTTCAAGGTTTCCATTGTTTTTGCAATAGCTGTCTCCCCCTCCCCCCCCCGATAGTTTCAATATTTTCATTTCTAAGATTTGGCCCATGCTAGAGATGGTACAATGTTCATCAAAATACATTTTAGGCTCTTTTCTCATTGGTAGCATGACTTGGTAGATTTTCTTTAGGTTGCCAATTTTTATTTTTAGGGTAATATTTACTGCAGTGTTGATAGCATCCCCAGCCGTCAGCAAGCTCATTTTAGAGGCATAAAAAGGACAAAAATGCCATTGCTTATGTTCCTTCTAAAGTCTGGTAGGATATAAGAGTGTAAAATGCTTCCTTGAAGTCATTCATGGAGGGAGCCCTTGGAGAACTTGAGGAAGGGACTTACAAAAATAGATAATAAGGTGTTAAGCCTTAAGTCCTCATAAACAACAATTCTGGAAAAGACCTTGGTAGAGCTATCTTAAAAGATTTTAAAAAGGATCATTACTATAGAAGGAAACACCATCTGAATAGGTCTGTAATCAGACTAAACATTCAGAAGAGGCATAAAAAATATAAGAAGTTTTTATTTGGTCTGTTAAGGACAACTTACATTTAGGGAAAATTTCAAAGTTTCTCCCAGCTCTTATCAAATATTGCTGATAAGCATAACATCTTAAAGGGCCATTTCAATTTGGGATGGATCCACTGTGAAACTGCTGCGCCTGTTAGGAAATGTTTTCTAACATTCAGTTGGAATTTGCTGTAACTTAATCTCCTGTAACTTAAACCCATTATTCTGCATCCTTCATTCTGGAATAAGGAAGAATAGGTCTTGACATTCTTCTAATGTGACATCCTTTCAGGTATTTGAAGAGACCTGTTATATCCTCCTTCAATTGTCTTTTCTCATTGCTAAACACACCCAGCTTTTTCAACCTCTTTTCATAGGACTTAGCGTTTAGTCCTCTTATTGCCCTTTTCTGAAACTTTTCTGATTTCTTAAAGCATGGTGCCCAGAACTAGCACGGTATTCAAGATGGGGTCTATTTGAAGAAGAATGAACTATTGCTTCCCACTGTTTGGAAAGTATACTTCAGTTGATAAAGCCTAAAATTGTGTTTTCTTTATTTTAATTTTTTACAGCCATATCACACTGCTGATTCATATTCAGTTTTTGTGTTCAAGTACTATTCCAGGATCTGTTTCCATAAGTACTATTATTAAGCTAAGTGTCCGTCAACCTATACTTATTCATTTTAGTCTTGCTTCATTAGTGCAGAACTTTCAATTGTTAAATGTCATTGTGTTATTTTCAGCCCATTTTTCTAACCTATTAAGATAATTTTGGATTTTATTTCTGCCTTCCAACCCAAATTTCTGTTATCTGCAAATCTGATAATATTCCATCCACCCCTTCATTCAAATCAGTAGTGAAAACATTAAAGAGTAGGGGACCTAAGACTGATCCTTGTGGCACCTTTCAAGATACCTCTCTACAGTTTGAAAAGGAGCCATTGATGAGCACCTTTTGAGTATGATTTCTGAGCCAACTATATATCCATTTAATGCCCACATTATGAAGTCCACACAACTAGCTTGCTAATCAGCACGTCATGGATACTTTTTAAAATGCTTTACTGAAATAAAGGTGACTACACTAGTCCAACAATATATTAAGGAATTCATCTAGTAAAAAAAAGGTTGGTCCAGCAAAATTTGTCCTTGACAAACCCATGTCAACTTTGAGTAATTGTTTTCAAGATGTTTACAGATTGATTTCTTTATTATCTGCCCTAAAATTGTCCCAGTATTAATGTCAGTCTGACTCATTTGTAGTTCCCTGGATTCTGCCCCCACCCACTTTTTTTGAAGATAGAAACTACTTTTGTTCTCCTGCTATCATCTGCCATTTCGCTAGTTGTTTGTGAAAGATAATACATGAGGGTTCAATCAAAATATCAAGAGGTTCATTCAGTACCCTAGGATGCAGTTCATCTGGATCTGGCAAATTAAACTCGTTCGGCATAAACAGGTATTCCCTGATCATGTTTCTATCAATCTCAAGCTTCAAGCCTATCCCTTCATTTTTACTTTACACAATTCTGTGATAGAACAGAAACTGTTGGAGAAGAACCAAATTGAACCAAAATTGGTGTTAAATATCTCTGTCTTTTCTACCAAAATCAGATAGAAAAGGCACCTTTGGAGAATGCTGCTGTTTTTTAACTATGACACATTTGGTGAAAACGTAGGTCCATAGTGAAATAATTGAGCCACTGTCTTAACCAATAATACAAATCATACATGGAAACCACACACATTCTAGGATATTCCCAACAGGACTGAAATAAGGAGCAGACAAAATGCAAAGGTCCAGGATTGTTCTGCAGCAGTCCTAGTTCTTACATGTGATCACCTCTTATACCTAATAAATTGGATGCAAATTTGGTATAAAGTATGCCATCAGAATGGTGGCAAGTCATAGAAACATAAAGTTGTATTTCAAGCTTTTATCACTGCAGATGGCTTTGAAATCAGTGGAGCCACCCAAGGATTATAGTGAGTGACAGCTTACTGGAACCACCCTAGTATCAGCTTTGTTGCAGGGAGAGGCCAAGTGCCCAGTGCTGTCACATTGATTAAAGGGACCATTATTCTCTACCAATTTTCCACTTATGTCTATCTAGTGACTTTGCTAAAGCTGGGCAGAGCAACAGCACAATCAGGTCCAGAGAGATATTGAAAATGTGAGCTACCACTGAAATAGCTGACAGCCCTGTTTGCAAGCTGTCACTAAGCAAACTATCATTGTTTGGGGATGGTGGAGAGATCTGCCATTGAGTTAAGAATAAAAAGAAATTATTCTCATTAAGTGTCCAGCACTCTTCTCTTGAGACATTCCTATAAGAAGGCAACTTTTTCTGTTACCTTCAGTGACTCTGAAACTCCAAGATTAGAAATAGCAACCTATTATTTCACCCACTTGCAATGCATCAAGGGTGTTCTCC